AGCTCTTGCTTATCCGTATGGTTCGAGCCCGGTCGTGCTCTGGCAATTCAACATTCGTTCCCATGTGTCATTTGGAGTTTGAGACTATTTCAAATCTAAAACGACTCTGAACATTACCTAGGATCTTCTCTGGAAGGACCCACCAAGAAAAGGTTCATATCGTTTTACTCGATGGAGACCTTCCCTCATCGCTCCTGCAATGCTGCGCAGCCTTGCCACAGCCGCTGGGCGCAGTCTCCTGGGCTTGGAGATTGCACCAACGAACACACTGAGTACATGTATCTGAGCACAGGATCTGAAAACGGGGCACATCAAGAAAGAGCAAGACTCAGTCGGAGAAGTTCCGGCTTCCATCATGGAAGGCGTTCTGAGCATTTCTAGTTACCCCCAAAGTCACAATGACAAGTCAGTTGATTGTCAGAAGCATGCCATTGCAGTAGGCCTTGGTGCAGTGGCACTTCCAACAGCATTGAGTTACACAGAGAAGCCAGAGTTCTTCAATGCAGGAAATAAGAAGTAGTGTCGCCAGAATCCGAACATGCATCCACCAGTCAGTATTGAGTAATCAGACTATGTAGTGCTGTCAAATGCCCAGCATTCGGGGTACCTGCCTTGGCCGCAGCGATTGTGTTTAACCATATCCTTTTTCTGAAGCTATGTCCTTGTACTGTTCGTTTCTGCTAAACACCATGCAGAGTAGACGAAGAGTGCAGAATAATGAGGCTCCGTAGCGACTACCAAAAACAGGAACACCATGCAATTGCGACGCATGCGAACGACAGTGGTCGTCGTCGTCATCACCATCTTCGCCACCAGTGCAAGTACTATCATTACAATTTCCACACCATTACCATAACCATCACCATCACCCATCATCTTCGTCATCACCATCTCATGGCGATGAGAAACATCATTGGCACCTCCATCCACATGACAAGGCGTGACACGCCGCAGCAGCATGGGAGTCGGATTCAGCATCACCGCGATCAGCACCGGCATCATGACCATGCAACAACACAGTTTAGGGTTTAGGGGTTCAGGGTTCAGCATCGACTTTGATGTCATCATCGAACACTTTGTCGCTAACTAGCGTCGCCAACGGCAGGGTCAGCAGCATGAAACAGGATCCTGGACCGTGCAGCTGTGTCATTGTATCGCAGAGTGTCCACCATGATGGGATTAGGTCTAAAAAGACCATCCTTTTAATGGTGTGGGCGACCTAATTTCATAGTAGAAGTATATATATATATATATGGACCCTGTTGGTATTGTAGCACTTGAGGGAGTGTTTGTTGCATCGGCGCAGGCCTCATGGCAGCGGGAGCTGGGGCGTGTCTCAAAGCATGAAGGGGGGGAGGGGGGGTGGCTTAGCTGCCGAAGAACCGAAGAAAAATCGAGAAGCTCTAAACCTTTGACGAAAAAATTGAGACACCATATAACTATATAACCCTTATCGACGGCCCGTAAAGAAGTCTTCCTCAACGTAAACCCTATACACTCCAAAGCCCGAGCCCTGAACCCTAAAGCGCTGAACCCTAATATATCCAATCCCGAAAGCTTATGCGCCCCAAACCCTCCTAAACCCCCTAAACCCTAAACTTTAAATCCCGAAGCCCTACACCCTACAAGTCCTAAATGTAGAACGTGAGGCAGGTCTCTGAGGCGTTTCATCTGCAAGAGGCGCATCTCGCACAGGCGCAGGGCTTCGGAGTTCAGAGTTTCAGAGTTTCGGGGTTCCGGGTTTTTCGGTTCGCGGTTTAGGTTAGGGTGGTTTAAGTCTATAGTTTCAGGGTTCAGGCTCAAAGGTCCAGCGTTTCTGGGGTTCGAGGTCTAGTTGAGGGGTTCGGGGGTTTAGGATTTAGGGACTTTATGGGTTCAGGGTGGAGGTGTGAGGTTCAGTGTATCGGGGGTTCAGGACTTGCCAGTTAGCTGAGACTCGGCACCCCTAATTTCTACCCCTTCAGCTACAGTGAAACACAAATGACAAACAGCCTGGTGTTGGTGCCGATAATAGAATAAGGGGTAGCAAGTTTTACATGGAGACCTGCTACCCATACTCACCACCGAAGGTCTCACCAAGACCAACCCGGGGACTGTGCTTCATCATATCAACAAACCCCAACACTTCAAAACCCCCCAAACCCCAAACCCTAACCCCCAAACCCTAAACCCTAAATCCCAAACCCTAAACCCCAAACCCTACACCCTAAACCCTAAATCCCAAACCCTAAACTGTAAGCCCCAAACCCTAAACCCTACACCAAAAACCCTAAACCCGAATAGAAGCAAAAAAATCCTCAAAAGGCCCCAGGGGCCTCGATCGTGCCGAGCCGCGTCGCGAGGGCCAAGTCGCCTGTCTCGTTTGTTTTTTTTGGGGGGTTTAGGGTTTAGGGTTTAGGGCTTATAGGGTTTAGGGTTTAGGGTTTTTGGAGGTGTTACGGGGTTCTTGTTCGCTTGAAGGGTTTGAGGGTGCAGGAGTTTATGGCTGCGGGTTTAGGATCGGTTTGACTTTCGGCCTCGGGGCTTGCTTGTCTTACTGTCTTATTATAGTTGGTTCAGTTCTTGCGCCTGGGCCTTTAGATTCTCGGATTTTTATGGATTTAGCAGTTCAGGGTTTTCGGGCTTGCTAAGATTTCTAGGGCTGAGGGTATTGGGCTTCAAGGCTTGAGTGAGAGGGTTAGGGTGTGCTATGGTATGAAGGTTAAGGAATCTATGGCTTAGGCCTTAAAAAAGGCTCTAGAGGCTTAGGGGTGTCGGGTTTGGGGGCTCGGGGCTTTAGAGTGGGTGGGTTCACAAGTGAGGCTTCGAGGATTGTGGAGACCCTGAACACTAAACCATGGGTTTAGGGTTTTCGGGTGCAGGAGATTGGTCGGCCCAGTGCAACCACCCTGAACCAAACTCAATACAACATCAAGGGCAACCTCTTTCGGCGTATTTAGACGCATGCCGACTGCATAGACGTTGGGCCCTGCGCGGGACGCGTGTTATAGTATAGCTACTCCGGGACTGTAGCAGGACGCGATTACTAAGTAGTGAGACCTGAGCACTAGTTTCTTTAATTGCAGGTAGCCCCAAGATAGAACCCGAAACTTACAGGAATCCTATCTCTTATGCACCCTCCCTAGCATCCGAAACCCTAAGCTTGAAGAATACGATACCCTGAAACGACAGAACACCCACACCGAAAAAACTCAACCCAAGACCTGAAAAAAAAACCGATGTGAACCCAAGCAAACAGCAATCCTCAACCATGCAGGCAGTCCCAGTGAACCCAACATCCCCACGGGGATGTAGACAGTGAAACCCCTGATTTTTGGACCCTATACTACGAAAGGGTACGTTGTAGGAACCGCCTAGAAGGAACCCTTAAAGGAAGCCTAAATGGAACCCTTAAGGAATCTTATAGATCCTTTTTGGGGGTCTGGGTGAGAGTGTTCCCTACGCTCAAGGCTTTCTGGATTCTCTGGGCCTACAAACTTTAGGTTTTCGGCAGTAGCGTATTATAGTTTGACGATAACACCAACACTCATCATAAACAAAAACCTGCGAAACCCTTGTAACACTCTTACAAACCTTGGATTAGAGGGTGTAGGACTCTTGTAGAGCCTTTTGGCACATGTGGGTAGTTGTCCAAATTAGGGTCCCTTTTAGGGTCCCTTTTATAAGGGTGTCGTACTGTATTTGGGACCCAAAAAGGGACCCTAATTTCGAGAACTACCCGTGTAGGCTTCTCTACGAAATGCCTGCAGGACGGGCGCAGCATTGCCACCTGGCGGGAACCAGGCCAACGAACCTTCGGATGGGATTGAAAACCGGCCTTGAGAGGGGCTTTACAAGGGTGACCCTAAGGGTCCATGTACTCAAACAGTTTTTTTGCTTTGGCCTTAAAGTTGTCCCCATATAGGTACTTTCGGGCCAACGTATATGCTATTTGGGTACATGGACCCTTAGGGTGAGGGCTTAGGGTTTAGGTTTTAGGGGGAATTCGGGGGTTCAGGGAGAGCTTGGAGCTCATCTTTTTCTTGGCTCTGCGAGTTTCGGGGTTGGGATTTTTTGGATTTAGCGTTCAAGGGGCTATCGGCACTTCGGGATTCGGGTTTGGAGGCTTTTGCGGCTTGGGGGCTTAGGGATGAGACCGTATAAGGTTGAGGTGTTCAACTTCCAGGGTTTATGCCTCGCATACTACACTAACAGCTCCTTGTGGACACTGAGAGACACTTGGGCCACTCAGAAATTCAGCAATTAGGCTTTGGGGCTTGGGCCGCATTGTGGCAAAGCTGCTGTTAGCACGAACCCGGAAAGGGTTCCGAAAGAAGGTTTATGCAAAACTATGAACAGGCCCTTGTCGTCTATAACTGTGCATTCGCCGGCAAAAAAATCTTTGACGCCTGCAACCCAGCTTGAACCCCAGACCATGTTGATTTCCGGACACCAGTTTCGCATTTGCTTACGACTGGCCTCACTGACTTCCCGACAGCGTACATATCCACCTGCAGGCATCGGCCAGGACTTTAGGGATGAGAGAACTTCACCTACTCCCCCAAATTAACCCTAAACCCTAAACCTTAAACCCTAAACCCCTAAACTCGGGTTTAGGATTGAATGTTTGAGTATTAGAGCAATGGTTTAGGGTTTATAGGGTTTAGGATTGATTATTAGAACAGGGCTCTGTGTTTAGGGTTTAGGGTTTAGGATTGAGCATTAGAAAAAGGGCTTAGGGTTTAGGGTGTAGGATTGAATATTAGAACGGGGCTCTGGGTTTAGGGTTTAGGATTGAGCATCAGAACAGGGCTTTTTTTTTTGGGGGGGGGGCATATAATCGTAAGAGGACAAAGTGAGAGGATACTCTTCGTCTTAACTCCGACCCCTAAGTTACCGCTCAACGGAAGTCGCATTCGACTCGAGGTAGCTAAGACAGCTAAGAGCCTAAGGCTAAGGCTCACCGCATTCTCTTTGGAATCGCGGTGCCTTTGTGGAGTAACCTTACGACTTGTCTCCACTCATGGAAGGCTGCTGGAAGAGCAAGAGCTGCTGGCATCGTCGCTGGAAGACATCGATATCCTGTCGCCAAGCCATTCCTTCACTATGAGCGTCGGATTTAGGGTTCAGGCAGAATTTAGGAGCGCAGCGGTTTAGGGGTTTCGGGGTTTACGGCTTAATTAATTGCTTTCAGGGTCACAGTAGGTATGTTTAGGGGAATGGCTGCCAAGCCCATCGGAGTGATAGTTGGGATACCACCACCGGGCACCAACAACGCTTACGACGCCATCGAAAAGCCTTACGAAGATAACCACCACCAGCAGGTGTTTTGGAACCAGGCCACGACAAGCCACACTGTAAAGCCCCCCAGCCTTATCCGTAGCCGCGACCCTTGGGCAAACGTCCGAAGCACTCTAAGCCCGATAGGAGTCAATACTTCAGAGCCCCAACATGCACCCTAAACCTAGACCCTAAGCCCTAAACCCTAAAGCCCTGAAGTCCTCGAGCCTTCAGAACTAGACTAGACCGCAAAAACGAGGACACCGCACGTACCCTTAAACCCTTGAACACTACACACCATAATTAAATCCCTCAGCCCTAAACCCCATATCCCCATGAACCCCTCAACCCTAAACCCTTACTCCCTCACAGCCCTAAAGCCCACGAGCCATCCAACAAACCACATAGACCCCAAATGAGCCCAGGGTCTTGGAGGCCACGCAGCCGTTCAAGTAAAAAGCCCTCCTTCGACAACCTCGGCTCTTTCTTGCTGAATTTTGCTTTGTTTTGAGGCGGGTCGGGGGGGGAGGGGGCGTTCAGGTTTAGCGTTTAGGGTTTGGGGGTCTAGGGTTCAGGGGTTTTGATTGAGTGTGTGTGTGTGTGTTTTTGTTTTTTGACTCTCTCTTTTTAGCAGGTTTAGGTCTAATGGCAATGGTTTAGGTTTTCGGGTAGCAGGGAACATGTAGGACAGCACATGGTGCCCTAACTCCAGGTTCAAGATCAGGGTCTGATTTTTTCTGTAAGGTTTAGAGAGGTTAAGTTTTTTTTTTACGGTTTTAGGGTTTAAGGTAGTTCCGAAAAAATTCAAAAAGGTATCTTCAATTCATCTCCAACCCCAATTATAATGGCTAAGGCCCCTGTACCATAATTACAACCCTGGTAGAACCTTTATAACAGTTTATAATCGTAACACGTAGGCGGCCCCTATACCCTAAACCGAAACCCCCAAACCATAAACCCTACACCCTCAACCCTGAGCCCCTAAATCCTAAACGCTGAATCCTAAACCCTAAATCCTAAACCCTAAATCCTAAACCCTAAATCCTGAACCCTAAGTCCTAACCGCAAATCCTAAAACCCTAAACCTGCTAGTTCCATACGCGCCCAGCGACCGAGCCTCCTGCCGTGCCTTTTCCTCGAACTTCGCGATCTCCAGATCAATGATGTCGCAGTACCTTGGGTTTACGGCGCCACGGCTGCAGCTGTGACGGTTTCGAAACTTCCAGCCCGAAGGGCCCCTGAAAGTTTAGGGTTTAGGGCTACTGTTCAGGGTTTGAGTAGGGTCTAAGGTGTAGCGCCTGGTTCTTGGTTTTTGGGCTTTTAGGTTACTGGGTGTGGGGCTTCTGCAGTGGTTCCATGTAGAGGCCCGAAATACCTTGTGACTCGCCTTTATATGCGAGGGTTCATACTCGAGGCATTCGAGGGAATCTCTGGGCTGCTGGTCCCGGATCTTTGACAAGGAGTTTCCCCCAACCTCTTAACATACATCCCGAACTAAGCCCTGGAAACCTTTAACCAACCCTGATAATTCAACAATCTTGGCGCTTAAAGACCCTACAGAGACGTTCACCAGAATCCCGTGAGCCTCCACGAACATCCGAGGGGAGTTTAGGGCTTTAGGGCCTCTGGGTTTGGGCTCTAAGGTTCAAGGTCTTCCACAGTTGGAGCTTTCGGTTTAGCCTTTTGGGTTTAGGGCTCTACAGCCGAAAAGCAGAAGCGTGTCGGAGACGGCATCGAAGACCATCATGTATGGAAAGGCAGCCACTAAGGAAATCACGCCCCCTGCGTTTGACCACAGATGCGGGTTGCCCACGAAGTAGCTTGAGTAAGGGTTGCCATACCCCTCTAGACCCGGACAATGGCCACCAACGATTACATAGACGGTGAAATAGCCCGCCCACCAGACGATAGCACCCCAAACCAACTGCATTACGAAGGTGGTGCCGGTCTTCGTGCTGCTGAACGTCACTTGCGTCTCGCCAACCTTATCTCGTGCAGCCGCTGGTCTCAGGAAAGATCTCTGATCTGATGTCTCGCTGAACTGTTGAGCTTTAAACAACGAAACCTGCCATCTCCAAACTATCGTAGGGGCTGGCTTTACAGTGGAAGGCTTCCCAGAAAAAACCATTCAACTGGGATTTTTTTCCGACAACAGAGTTGTGAGCTAAGGAATGTATGTCTGCCTACACACAGACAGTAACATTCATATAGAACCGTTATTTCTTGTTTATCTATAAATCACCTATAAACGCAAATACAAAGACGAAGATGAAAATCATAAACATGTAAACAACATACACAAGTACATTTGCTTGTCTTATCGAATTCTTGCAGGTAGCTTTGCAGGCCAAGACCGCGGCATTCGAGACCGGCTCGGCAGTGAGTGCCAGCTCAACGTATGCATCTGCGGAGAACCTCCGAGGGCTTAGGGCTGGCTGGGCCACGGCTTAGGGTTGAGGGTTTTGGCTTGGGGTTTAGGGCTTCTTGCTCTTGGATGTCGAAGGCTTAGGCTTTATAGCGTTTAGGGTTTAGGGCTCTTGGCATGGAGCCGCTGTACCTCTAATAAAGCTGAAACAGTTTCATTAAGAGGTTTGTCTGTTTGATGCTGGCTGGCATGGGTAGAAATTTCGACAGGCAAGCTGCTGAGTCTTGAATGTTCGTGTATGTGCCGACATTATGCTTGCCATGCATATTATTGTAGTAGTCATTAGTAGTCGTCGCAGTAGCAGTAGCAGTAGCAGTAGCAGCAGCAGGAGGAGGAGGAGTAGTAGTAGTAGGCACAGACCGAGCTCTGCCAGGTTGAGGTTGTCAAGGTCATCCTTCCCAACTAACACGGAACCCCACCAAAA